GGGGACGGACATGGGGACATAGGGACACGGGGAGGGACACGCGGACAGGTGTGGGGACATGGGGACAGATTTGGGGACATGGGGACCTAGGGACATGGGGAGGGACACGGGGACACGGGGACACGGGGAGGGACACGGGGACACGGGGACGGATGGAGGGACATGGGGACCCAGGGACACGGGGACGGACATGGGGACACGGGGACATGGGGACACGGGGAGGGACACGGGGACACGGGGACGGACATGGGGACACGGGGACATGGGGACACGGGGAGGGACACGGGGACACGGGGACGGACATGGGGACACGGGGACATGGGGAGGGACACGGGGACAGATGTGGGGACATGGGGACAGATGTGGGGACACAGGGACACGGGACACGGAGAGGGGCACGGGGACACAGGGAGGGACACAGGGACAGATATGGGGACATGGGGACCCAGGGACACGGGGAGGGACACAGGGACATGCGGAGGGACACGGGGACAGATGTGGGGACACAGGGAGGGACACAGGGACATGGGAAGGGACAACAGGGACACAGGGACAGAGAGGGGGACATGGGGACACAGGAAGGGACCCGGGGACATGGGGAGGGACACGAGGAGGGACACAGGGACATGGGGACGGATGGGGAGACACGGGGAGGGACATGGGGACAGACACGGGGATGGATGGGGGGACACGGGGACACAGGGATGGGGACATGGGGATGGACACGGGGACATGGGGACAGAGGGATCGACACAGGGAGGGACACGAGGACGGACATGGGGACACAGGGACAAATGGGGGACACAGGGAGGGACACGGGGACAGATGAGGGACATGAGGACAGAAGGACGGGGACATGGGGACAAACAGGGGGACACGAGGAGGGACACGGGGACGGATGGGGGGAAACAGGGACAGATACTGGGACAGACACAGGGACATGGGGACAGACATGGGGACACAGGGGGACACCCCAAGATTCCCCCAAAACGACCCCAAAATCCAACCCAGGATCCCATGAAACCACCCCAAGATCCCAAAACCCAACCCAAGACCCCAAGAAACCAACCCAGGACCCC